TGTCTTTGTCCATTCCTGCTTGAACTGACTGAATCAATCCACCCTGGATTCACATGAGGAATGGAACTCAGATTAGCCTTTAACCTTTTCATTTTCTGAATATTCAAAGTATAGTTATCAACTCACAAAATATACCAAAACGGGATTAACAATATGCACTGAAGAACAAAAAAGTTTCAAATACCAATTTTGAAGGAGAGAAACACACTTTAAAATGTATATCCAGTGCAATTTTATAAGCAAATTTTCATTTATTTCTGAGTGTGGACCATTATTGGGTTAGACTTTTCTCTATTTGAAGTAATCCTCTGTTTGAAGAGTTGTTCAGTTAAGTGCTACCCCTGCTAATGAGACATCATAATGCAATTACATTGCCACCTACACATTTTACTAACTTGACTGAATATTTTACAAGAGACAGAACAGACCCCTCCCCCCCCCAAAGGAAAACCTTCTTAATTGCACAAACTGTTGTGACAGCCAACTAGAGGGACGGTTTTAAACAAATGTATAGAGAAAAAAAACTAAATACACCCACGTATGATGGTGATGGTGATACATTACCTCCAGCACCAGAAAAAATGCCCGTAAAGCATTTGCTGGGTAAGTCAAACAATAGGAACAAGCCAGTGAAGCTATGTTTATGATTTTCTCATAAGCTTTTGCTTGGGCACTGTGGCATCAGAATGCTGTGGTAGACAGATGTTGGCCCTCACTTGCATATTTATTTGTCTATGACTGCATTTAACCAGTCAACTGACCAATTATGCCAAGAAATACCAAGTTAAATGGCCTTGATATAGAAGCAGAAACCATATATGACGGGAAGTGTCTCTGCCATGTCATCATGCCAGTATCCAGCAGCACCCAGTCATACCAGAAAAACTGGGGAGCCTTTGTAGATTTCCTGTCTGTAAACTGGGTATAAGGGCAACTCTTTTTTGGAAAGATAAAAAAAGATACAAGTTGAAGAACAAAACAATTCTCAGGCCTTCCCAATTAGGCCAAAATAAAGACAGCATGCTTATTGCCAATGTTCCAGAGCAGCTAGCTTAAAAAGAATGGAAGGGAGTAGTCAGCTGTGTGTCTGAGATATGATTAAATTTGTTTTGCAGGAAAGACTGCCAAGGAAGCAAAAATGATCCTAAGCACTGGTCCCCAGCAACATTCATTATCTCAACTAGCAAGGAGGAGCAGCTTTTCCACACAGATGCTTAGGTTTCTAGACAATCCCATCACCGGCATTCGACAGGCTAGTAATTTAAAACTGAAAATATCTATATCTACCTACAGCAGGCTAAAGCTAAAACTCCTCACCTCAAATTACAGTGATTTGGATCAGACAAGAGAAGCAGGTTTGTATTTTGGTTCCCGTTTTCATCTATAAGCACAAAATTGTCCCAGAAGGGTCAAGGAGGGGACCTCAGCACTTTCTTAGCAATTACTTGTGTATGTTAAATACACCAAAAGGTGACTGCCTACAGCTACCATATGGGACTGGCAACTCTACATACTGGGAAAGAAAAAACTGGGTTATGAGATTAGTGTGAAAGGCCAGAAGAAATGTAAATAATGTCCAAAGGGGATTGATGTTCAATTCTAGTAACTTCAGTTAAATTCTAGTAACTCTGGATCTGAGATCTCAGTCTGCCATATGGTAGGTATCACACTTTACAAATCAAACAAATTCTAACAAATTCTAACACACTGCAGACTACTTCAACCAGAGAAGTCAGCCATAGCAGAGCACCTGATGAACCAGCCTGGACACAGCATATTATTTGAGAACACAGAAATGCTGGACCACACCAACAACCACCATGTCAGACTACACAGAGAAGCCATTGAAATCCACAAGCATGTGGACAATTTCAACAGAAGGAAGAGACCATGAAAATGAACAAAATCTGGCTACCAGTATTAAAAAACTCTAAAATTACAACAGCAAAACAGCAGAGAGGAAACAACCAGGCACATCTTAACACCTCTCAACAGGGGATTTTCCCAGGCTCAGCCAGGCCTTCAAATGCTAATGAAGGTGGTCAGTTGAAACATTCACACCTAGCTCCAGCAGGGAAGAGCTCCTTGCCCCACCCCAGCCATTCCACAGATATATAAACCCATTGTCCTAATTCCAACAGACCTCACTACCTCTGAGGATGCTTGCCATAGATGCAGGTGAAACGTCAGGAGAAATGCCTCTAGAACATGGCCCTATAGCCCGAAAAAACCCACAAGAATCTAACGCTGGTCTTGGGACACTTTCACACTATACAGGGTTTATCTACCCAAGCCACACAATCTAAGGCTTGCCTGAAGTGAATACCTCAGGATGCCCACAGGGGCACCTACATTGCCTCTCTCCATCCTGTCACAGCAGTGGGATGGGGTCCAGACCATCTAGTCTGTTCAGCCCTGCCAAATATCCACCCTTTGATGCCCTTTTAGTTCAGTCCCAGTGGTGCAGTGGGTTCAACCCTTGTGCTGGCAGGACTGAAGACCGATAGGTTGCAGGTTTGAATCTGGGAAGAGCATGGATGAGCTCCCTCTGTCAGCTCCAGTTCCTCATGTGGGGACATGAGAGAAGCCTCCCACAAGGATGGTAAAACATCAAAACATCCAGGCATCCCCTGGGCAACGTCCTTGCAGACGGCCATTCTCTCACACCAGAAGCGACTTGCAGTTTCTCAAGTTGCTCCTGACACAAAAACCAAACAAAGCTGTGGCAGCTGGCCATGTAGCCCTGAAATGGGGTGGAAGCACATCTCAGTTAACTATTTTATCTTGTGTTATGGGCTAATGGTCTCGGGACATCATGTGGATTTCTAGTAGCGACTTCTGGCATGATTTGAATGTTTTGGCTAGTGTAAACTGGGCCACTGTGATAGTGCTGAGATTTCAAATTGCCACAGCAATTTCCTAAGCAATCCTACAATATCCAGTTTGAGGTGGAATATTTAAGAATTCTCAGCCAGGATTCCCTAGGATGTCATGGTGGCAATTAACACTGAATCATAGGGCTATATCTGTAAACTATGAAAGGTGCCTCTCTCTGTCCCCCCACACCCACCCCCGTGCAATGAAAAAACTACAGTGGCTGAAAAATTTAAACACGATTCCCTACATATTTATTTAATTAATCCTGACTTTCTCCTGATATAAGGACTCAAAGCAGCTAACAATAAATACAAAACAACAAAACTACATGTCCTAAGACATGGAAATGTAAGTGGAACTGTACTACTATAATTAGGTAGCATTAAAGAGCCCCTAGAAGAAAGCAATCTGACCCAGGATCCTTTCACACTGAACAACTGAAGCACTGTGATTCCACTTTAACTGTAATTGGTCCATACTATGGAACTCTGGGAGTTTTTGGTTGGTGAAGAACTAGAGCTTTCTGGCTGAGAATTCAAAATACCATTCCCTTAGCTGCCAAATCCCAAGATTCCATATTTTGTCAGCAAGGCTGCTAAAGTAAAATATTAATGATATATCATCACATAGTGTGAAAAGGCCTTTGACTGAACATTGATTGATACTGTCCTGGTAAGATTGTGACAGCATGGTCTACATCAGGCATGGACAAACCTTTTTACTCTGGGGCTGCATTGCAGGACTGGTCAGCAGGACCGGGCCAGGCCAGTCTGGGAGGGAGGGAGGGAGGGTGGGCCCAGGAGAGGGTGATGCTGGGGGCAGGGCAGGCTATGGAGGAAGCAGGGCTGGGGTGGGCCTGGGAGGAGCCATGGTGAGCCCAAGAGGGGGCAGTGGAGGGGTGGAACCAGGTGCGGATCACCCTCATGCTTTCCTTTCAGCATAATGATACGGCTGCTCACCCCATGCTCGGGTCCCGCCTGCCTCTCCCTTCTGCCAGCATCAGGAGGCCTTGCCTCGTCCTGATACTGGAAGAGAGAGAGGCAGGTGAGGAGGGTTTGGAGCTATTTCACCCACTGCTTGCCCTTGTGCTTGGGATGGGCTTCTACCAGCATCACCTTGTCCTGATGATGGGAGAAGAGAGAGTCAAGTAGCAGGTGAGGCAGCTTTGGAGTCGCTTTTCCTGCTGCTTACCTCTTCGCCCAGGCTGGGCTTCTCCTGGCATCAGGATGGGGTCTCGCTGGGAGAATGGAGTGGTAAGTGGCAGACAAGGTGGCTTTGAAGCCACTTCACCCACCACCTTCCCCATGCCAGGCTTCTCCTGGCATCTGAGAGGGCCACTCACCCTGTCCTTATGTTGGAAGGAGGGCCTGAGGAAGGCACATGGTGACTGAGAGAATTCTAGAGGGCTCCTAGCCACTCACTGCATGACTTCTTCCCTTATCCTTTCGGCATAAGGATGTGGCAGGCCATCACATCCTTATGCCCAGAGGAAGGGAGAAATTTTGGGGGATGGATATAAAGGCCAGGAGGGCCATGACGTGCCCTTGGGCCTTAGTTCATCCATGCCTGGTCTACACAATTTATAGAAACTACATAACATTACAGCCAGAAGTCTGAGAGGGTCCTGTTTTCTGGGACATATCATTCCAATATGATTGATTTGCATTTGCTGTTTTTGAGCCAGATTTAAGATGCTCTTTGTTAGCAGATGAAACAACTTTGCTCAAGGCAATCTTTAATTGCCTCTTTCATTTGCTCAGAACAATTTGCATTTTTAAAAAACAGAAATCCATGCTTTCAGCAAGGATTTGTAATTTTTGTAATTTTTTTACATATTTGTAATATTAATCATGTACAATTCTGATATTAGATTTAGGCACTGGAATTTTAGATTTTAACTCTGTTTTAATGTACAATTGCTGCAACAACAATAAAACAAGTATAACAGTCACGATAACATCAGTAGATTCAGTACTTTGGATAGCTCCTTTAGAAATCTGGCCAAAAAAATTCCATATCTACTATTGGTTTCAACAACATATCCCTTGGTGATCACAGGATTCATACTCCCATTCATAGTGCATCTAGCCTAAGCCAACAAAATGAAGAGAAGAGCTCTCTACCTCGATCTGCGTTGTGTTGTCGTGTGTGTCATCAAACATCAAGTCTGTGAAGCCTCCAGGTTCTGAGGATTCCTGACCCCCGCTGGCTCTATTGGTGTCAACTGACTTGAGGAACTCTGAATGTCGTTTCCACCTGTGGCTATATCTGTAGGAATCCACACGCACATTCTGTTCCACTTGAGGGAAACGCTGAACTATTTCATAAAATGTACCTGTTTGACAAAGATACAAGAAAGATCCATTAAATATTATTAACAGAAGAGACTAGAAATGACCTAGTCATATCCATTCATTTGCGCTCTCTCTCTCTCACACACACACACATATTTCTGATGATACGTATTAAAATATTTCATTATGATGTTCTCTTGCTTTATGTTCCAAGCAATCCCATATGTCCTCTTCCAGGATGCTCCGTCTGATCCTCTTGTCACAACAGATTTCCACTTCATTGTTATCTCAGTCATAAAGGCAGCAGAAATTGGCTACTGAACTGTTTATGGGAGGGACATTTTCCCAAATGTCCCTCACCAATGACTTTTTAAACACATTAACCTTTTTAGATGTAACTTCTTTTAATTTGTGGCACAAGCTACCTTAGGTCCCATGTTGGGAGAAAACCAGAATATGAATTAAATAATCTAGTTGGATTTTGAACATGGAGTGAAGGAGAACATCACTCTATCCTTTTGGCCTTAAGGTAGTAAAATGTTTTGGATCAAGCCTGCCCGCTTTTAACATATAATTTGGATGTGGGCAAAATCAATCCTGAAAATGAACAAAATCAGTGTGCTTAATCTTCAAAAAAATGTGCCCCCTTTTCTGGGGAAGCAATAAATATTTTGTCTTCTTCACTCCTGTTGCAACTATATCCACAAAAGCAGCACATCTGAAAATGGTACATGCAGATGTGAGATAAGGACAAAGGTAAATTTGATGTGTAAGTTAATGCCAACCCAACTGAACATGCAACTATGTTTTCTACCTGCTTTAAACTTATCTGAAAAATGTTTGTGGTTTGGCATGGGAAAAACGGTTTACAGATCAAATTTATCATAACATGATTACATCCAAAGTAATGTGGATCGGCACTGTAAAAACAATGATTTTTGCTTTTGTTAACAAGAATCTGGAACAGAAATGTCAGTTTGAGGGAAAGTGGAAGTCACTGATCTTGAAAGCTAAGTAGGGTCAAGCCTGGTTAGCATTTGGATGAGGAAATCTTGAAGAAATACCAAGTGCTCTAGGCCAAGGCTTCTTAAATTTTTCCACTCAGGACCCCTTTTGTCCCGAGAAATTTTTATGTAACCTCAGGTATAGAAGATAGAAATACAAATCAAGCCTTTACTGATAACAAATCAGCATTTGCAAGACTTGCTAAACAGGTTGGTTATCCTTTTTATGAAAAACAGCTTAAGCATCTTCTATAGAGTCCACTGTAAACCCTGCACAACAAGTTCATTTAAATGTCTAAAACAGCCACTACATGACATTCAGAAAACTTCTACTACTGTCAAAAGTTTTGGGACCCTAAAGTTGAACTAAGGGAACCCAATTTGTGATTGAGACCACTTTTGTGTATTCCTTGCCTAAGAAAACCCTATTAAATTTATGAATTCACTACACATTAACAAATGACAGGTGAATGCAACACAAATACAAGTTCTCTCACTAATAACTTATTCTTTTAATTCAAATTTAAATTATAATTATGGTTTGTGGGAACGAGAGGGGGGGGGCCTTCTCAGTGGTGGCCTCCCACCTCTGGAATGCCCTTCCAAGGGAAATAAGACACCCCCCCCCTTTAGTAAGTACTTGAAGACCTGGTGGTTTCAACAAACTTTTGAGAATGACCAGTTCTAGCCCAGCCCCAAACATAGTTGAATATGGCCTTGCACTTCTTACCTATTATCCTGGTCATCCCTCTAACAGGCCCTGGAAATGCGCACCCACAAACCCGTACCTGCTATTGCTGTTAGCCTGTTATAGCACTGTACTTAATTCCCGGCTCCCTCATATTTTGAGTTTGCACTAGCCTTCACCCAGCCTTTTAATTGCTCTGAACAGAAAGGATTATGTTTAATATATATGTGTTATTGTGATAATTTTATGCTTATGTTGTTTTGTTAATTTTATGTTATGCTGTTTACTCTGTATGTTTTGGTGATGTTGCTAGGAAACCGCCCTGAGTCCCCCTCGGGGAGATAGAGTGGTATATAATTAAAGTTTTTTTAATTATTATTATTATTATTTTATTATTATTATTATTATTATTATTATTAATTTGAGGAGAATGAAGCTAATTCTGATAGAAAAACATGAAGTTTGAAGGAATTTATTTTACAAAGGACTTCACTGCTATCAGGAACAATTTATTTGCATTCTACTGGTCCTGCAATGTCATTCAAATCAGACAGATACTGTAAGGGGCATCCAAACAAATTTACTTGACCATAAGGGAACACACAGATAAGCAATAACACGTCACACAACTGCTATGGACAAAAACAAGTGTTGCAACAATAACATTTCAAGCCTACATTTGAGATTAAAAGGGCTAAATGAAAGCAGGTTTTGCTTGATAATTTCTTCACTCTCTGCCACACATGGGGAAACACACCATGAAGTTTTCCGCAGCAAAGATTTCACTGTACTGTTGTGGAAGAAGTGAGATTAGCAGCAAGGGGGTTTATAATGAACACATAATTAAGCCTGCGTTTTGCTCTAATGATTTGAGCAGTTGTCCTTGAGGTTTGCATCAAATTAGAAGCAAAAGTGATTAGGCTGGCAATCTTATTCCCCGCTAACGTGGAATTTAAATGTAAAATCGGAGCTCTACATTAGAGAAAGGCATGGAGAAGGGAGGGGAAGGAAAGGAGGAGGAAGCAGCAGTCTTGACAAGCTCTTCCTACTCTGAGATCAGTCAGAATTAATGAATGGTTTGTTGGATGCATTCAGGGCTACTTATGGTTGCTGTTGATCAATCTGGCCCTCTCTAGTCAGTGCAATCAATGAGAGCCACTACAGCAGGAATGGGTGTATTATAATTCAGTCAGCCAGACAGGTCTGAAAAAGAATACTTTTACAAAGGGGAGAAATGGAAAGAGGCTGCTGTTAAAGAAAAATAACAGCTGCCAGCTAGGCCTTATTCTGCCTCACAGGCATTTGTGCCAAGTTCCTTCCTATAAAAAGAAAAAGAGAAAATAGAAAACACACTCAACCGTCAAAGAACAAAAAAAGAAGCCCATTCCATTTTATGAACTTAAGCTGAAAACAAATTCTTGAATTTGTTTTCCAGAACTATTCATACTAAAGCATTCATGACATACTAGTAAGCATCATTTAAATTTGAGATGCCAACTGCTTGAAATGCCTTTTCCATTCATTTGTTGTTCCATTCAACATGTATGTACAAAATGTGATCTTTGAACACAAGAGTTTTAAGTATGATTTAACAAGGACTGACATTAGAGGTGTGCAATTCAGCCAAAAGGCATGCTGTTTCAGGATCCATTGCTGGCTGACCCCTCATTCTGTTTACGGGAAGTTACTCAAATTGAGAGGGGTGTTGGTGTTTTCATTCAGCAAAGACTGGTCCCATTGGCTACAATGGGAAACTTTAAAGGCTCAATCCTCAGTCATTTTAAGGCCTATCTGCATGAAACCTACTTCAGTTTTAAACTCCATTTACAATGGGAGGTCTATCAAGAGCACCTGCTTGTCCTATTTTGATGGATTCATTTCAATTGGTGAAGCCCGAGGATGTGGACAAGATACTTGGAGGAATGAGGCCGACCACGTCCATCCTAGACCCCTGCCCATCCTGGCTTCTAAAAGAGGCCAGAGGGGGATTGGCTGAGTGGGTGGAGGTGGTGGTTAATGCCTCCCTTCGGGAAGGCAAAATTCCAGCGAGCTTAAAACAAGCTATAATAAAACCGCTGTTGAAGAAACCATCACTAGATCCCACTAAATTCGACAACTTTCGGCCGGTTTCCAATCTCCCCTTTTTGGGCAAAGTCCTGGAAAGCGTGGTGGCCTCACAACTCCAGGTATTCTTGAGAGACACGGATTATCTAGACCCGGCACAGTCTGGTTTCAGACCGGGACATGGAACTGAGACAGTCTTGGTCGCCTTAGTGGATGATCTGCGCCGGGAGCTCGACAGGGGGAGTGTGTCCCTGTTGGTGCTGCTGGACCTCTCAGCGGCCTTCGATACCGTCGACCACGGTATCCTTCTGGGGCGCCTTGCGGAAATGGGTCTCGGAGGCACTGTTTTGCAGTGGCTCCGGTCATTTCTGGAGGGTCGTTCCCAGAAGGTGTTATTGGGGGACACCTGTTCTTCCCCACAACCATTGTCTTGTGGGGTTCCTCAGGGTTCTATTCTGTCTCCCATGCTGTTTAACATCTACATGAAGCCGCTGGGTGAGATCATCCAGAGTTTCGGGGTACGGTGTCACCTGTACGCAGATGATGTCCAACTCTGTCACTCCTTTCCACCTGCTACTAAGGAGGCTGTCGAGGTCCTGAACCGGTGCCTGGCTGCTGTGATGGTCTGGATGAGGGCGAACAAATTGAAGTTGAATCCAGACAAGACAGAGGTACTCCTGGTCAGTCGCAAGGCCGAACAGGGTATAGGGTTACAGCCTGTGTTGGATGGGGTCGCACTCCCTCTGAAGACACAGGTTCGCAGCTTGGGTGTGACCCTGAATTCGTCGCTGAGCCTGGAGCCCCAGGTCTCGGCGGTGACCAGGGGAGCATTTGCACAGCTCAGGCTCGTGCGCCAGCTGCGCCCGTACCTTGGGAAGTCTGACTTGGCCACGGTAGTCCACGCTCTTGTCACATCCCGCCTAGACTACTGCAACGCTCTCTACGTGGGGCTGCCCCTGAAGACAGCCCGGAAGCTGCAATTAGTCCAACGCGCGGCAGCCATGATTCTAACAGGAGCGGAGCGCAGGGAGCACACAACCCCCCTGTTGCACCAGCTCCACTGGCTGCCGATTTGCTACCGGGCCCAATTCAAGGTGTTGGTACTGGCCTATAAAGCCCTAAACGGTTCCGGCCCAAGATACCTATCTGACCGCATCTCGGCCTATGAACCCACCCGGACTTTGAGATCTTCCGGGGAGGCCCTGCTCTCGATCCCGCCAGCCTCTCAAGCACGGTTGGCGGGGACGAGAGATAGGGCCTTCTCGGTGGTGGCTCCTCGGCTGTG